TCCGACAAGGCTGGAACCCAAATCCCAGGCCTAGCGGATCCCGACTCGTCTCCCAACGCCCAAAAGGCCTCGAGGTCCGCCCGATCGATTAACGGGGACGAATACTCTTCTTTCGGAACCAAAGTTGGAGGCTGCGAACTCGTTCCCTCAAAATTGTGGAAATTGGAACTAGTTGAGGAACGAGTCTTTCTTCCTGAAAACATGTTTGAAGATCTTCAAAGAAAGTGGAGAGAAAAATTTCTTGAATAAGTTATAGAAGGTGGAGTAAAGAATTCAAAATTTTACTCCATATACTTATAGGAAAGGATTTTATTATTCACCTTTGAACTTTTGGCCATTAAAGTTCCGCCTAATTCTACCAAACTCGCCAAACGAGCTCAATCCACTCGAAAGAACCTTACGATACTTACGAGCTGGGGGGCTAACTGTTGGGGTCAAAATCGGTACGACGGAATTAATAGCCAAAACTCCCCGCAAAAATATAAAAGGAATAGTCTTATAAAACCCGAAGAGTCGTTTTATAAAACTCGAGAATCGTTTTATAAAACTCGAGAATCGTTTTATAAAACTCGAGAATCGTTTTATAAAACTCGAGAAGCCGTTTTATAAAACCCGAAGATAGTTTTATAAAACTCGAGAAATCGTTTTATAAAACTCGAGAAATCATTTTATAAAACTCGAGAATCGTTTTATAAAACTCGAGAAGCCGTTTTATAAAACCCGAAGATCGTTTTATAAAACTCGAGAAATCGTTTTATAAAACTCGAGAAATCATTTTATAAAATTCGAGAATCGTTTTATAAAACTCGAGAAGCCGTTTTATAAAACCCGAAGATTGTTTTATAAAACTCGAGAAGCCGTTTTATAAAACCCGAAGATCATTTTATAAAACTCGAGAATCGTTTTACGAAACCACAAAAAACCGAAAAAGCCGTAAAACGCGAACTAGTCACGACTAGTTCGCCAATGGGCGAACTAGGAGACACTCGACTAGTTCGCCCATTGGCGAACTAAGCTGGCCCGGCTTAGTTCGCCAATGCGCGAACTAGGAGATGCTCAACTAGTTCGCCCATTGGCGAACTAAGCTGGCCCGGCTTAGTTCGCCAATGGGCAAACTAGGAGATGCTCAACTAGTTCGCCCATTGGCGAACTAAGCTGGCCCGGCTTAGTTCGCCAATGGGCGAACTAAAAACTTCCTGGACGTCCCGAGCCTCGTTCTCCCGCATTCCCGATTCGAAACTTACATCTTTCGACACGGTCGCATTCTGAACCACGGCTGAAACATCTCCTGTTCCATCTCGATCCGACCTATCGTTCGAGTTTTACGATAAAAACCGTAAAAACTTCGCTTTCTCGATAAAGAACTCGAAGAAATCGTATAAAATGGCGACGGTTAAACGAAACGCCGAACATTTCCTAAAACATACGATTTATTCGAGATTTCTCGTCGAAATCATAAAAAACGCGTTTTTAATAAAAAACATCGAGTAAATCGTAAAAACGTGTTTTTAATAAAAAGTCGAGTAAATCGTAAAACCTTACGATTAACTCGAGGAATTTATTAAAAACGATGTCAGATCAGGAAACGATCCCGTAAAAAGTCGGAAAACGGATTTATCGCAAAACGGCCCGGAAGGGCCTAAAACGCGATAAAAACCCATCTCGCGATCTTAACGGAATCTAACGCACAGATTTTATAACGTTTTGACGGTTTACTCGCAGGAGGAAAATAAAAGTCAAGTTTGAAGATAAAAGGAAGGTTTGAAGAAAAATAGAAGATTTCCGCGGAAGAAAAGGAAGGATCGAGAAAAATGGAAAATTCCCGATTTAGTTGAATCTGGGCGAAATGGAAAGATCGGATAGCCAAGGCGACGAGTATATAAATAGGAGGTCTAGGGCAGAAGCAAGGGACACGAAATTCAGAGCTCTCACCACCAAAACTAGCATTTAGGAATATTTCCGTTTTTCTGTTAGCGAGCTGCGTCTCAATTAGGGTTTTTCGTTCTTAAGTTTTCGGCTACTCTCTTTGTACCAGTTCTACGCAGATTCGGAATAAGAACCTCTTTGCTCTCGATTTTCGTTTCTTCTTTCAATAATTCTAAGTTGCTTGTTATCTTAATCTTCGTTGTGCGGTTCTGCAGATAGCTGGTTCCCCTGGAAACTTAGGGTTTTCCCGAAGTTTCCTTATTTACGATTTATTAACAGTAGGTGGATTTCGGTTCCCACAGGATTGATGGTATCAAAATCATATTCCCGGAAAACCTAGATATTCGATCGAAATATACTTATGGGATATATGAAATATTCGAAGTTGAAAAATATACGATTTATATTTATCCAAAGATTATCGATCAATAGAATTATTGATTTAAATATAATAAAAACCCGAAGAGTTATAGACCCTTGTATTTTGGAAGAAAACTCTTGACAATACCATATTGTCTTTATGTATTCCACACTGAATATCTAAAAATCAGATGTTATCTTAAAGATCATTATATTAAGATGCTCATATATGTTTGGTCTTGAAGTACCTAAATTGTTATTTGAGCAAAGTAACTAATCTTTTATGTGATTAAAAGTTGTGATTACATATGGCAATAAAGAAAGTTATAAAATTAACTTTATAATAATAATTGAATCCTATATATTATATACTTTCGCTTTCATCAAGTTCGCCCTAATTCCCTGTAAATTTCCCCCGCCGCCTCCAATCTTTCTTTCTCCAGTGACAGCCGGTTCTCGCATGCACCGGAGAGACTCTTCTTCCTGTCTAGGTTGTTCTCTTGCTTTTAATTTTGGATTTTTTGGAGTGTTGTGGTGTGTTTCATTGGAAGTCCTTGATTCCTCGTGGAGCTTTGGTTTGTCTCTTCATTTATGGTTTCTTGCCATTGTCACTGTCTTTGCTTCTCTTTTCGTCTAGTTGTGTGGGTGGATCGCCTTCTTTCAGTGAGGCTTGTTTCTGTTGCCGTCATTAAGGATTCAAGGCAAATCTAAGGTGGATCGCCTTCTTTCAGTGAGGCTTGTTTCTGTTGCCGTCATTAAGGATTCAAGGCAAATCTAAGGCGCTGGTTTTTGATTTGTATGGCTTTGTTTGATGTTGCTGGTCTTTTCATAACAATGATGTTGAAGCGTGTGTTTTTTAACAACGGGTTTGCTTATAACTAGCTCATGTGCACTGCCTTTAGGTTACATTCTGGATTTCATCCTTATAATGTACATGATGCTCATCTTTACAGGATTTTGGTTGTCCTTAGTTAATAGTAGTTTAGTGCTTGTGTCCTTTCTCTTGTGATGAGTTGGATTTAGTTCATTTTGGGATTGGTTTGATGTATCTCTTCGGGTCTGTGCTTTTGAGATGGTGAAAGAGGATCTGAACAATCTATTCAAACTATTCATCTGATTTTCACTTTGCATTTCAAGCTTGTACGGTAACTAATCTTAAGCTAATTCTGGACAAATTTGATAAAGGCAATGAAGATGAAGACCTATCTAGAAGATGAGAATTATTGTCATGTTATCACTAAAGGTATTAGAAGTCCGTATGTTATTGTGGGATCGGGAACACCTAATCTACTTTATTTTGAAACAAGACCAGTTTGAAACAAAATGTGGCATCTATGATGTTTGTCCTCGCTAGTTTTCGGTGTGGAAATTTCATTAGTTTCTCTTTCTTGTTTTGTTTTTCTTCTATGATGTAATATCTTATAAATCAGATTCAATAATAAAATACAGTGTTAAAAAAAATAATTGAATAAATTTGAACAGTTAGACAAATGTATGTAAAGATATTTGGTTTGAAGTCCAAATCTACCAAAAATTGTTTTCTTTGTCAAAAGAAGAATTATAGATCAAAAGTCTAAAGACAAAATATTATAACAGAAAAAGATTTTAGTATGTTTAATCTAAAAAGAGATATATACGACTGGAATGCATATCTTGAAGATATTGCTTCTAGGAAAAGAAATATGATAATGTGTGTGGTTGTACTGTTTTTCCTTATATGGATTTTATCCCACTGGATTTTTTTGACAAGATTTTAATGAGGCAACAAAGAAAATACAAATGATAGACACCCAAAGAGAATGTTACAATTTCGGAGATGAAAGTCTATCAATGTTCTAAAGTTTTTTGAGATAGAGAAAATCCAAGAAAATGATCAAATCATACAAGACGCAAGCACTATCAAAGAATGGCGATATCAACATCCTACATATTCGTTCAAGTGATAGTTTTGGCTGGCTTATTCACTAAGGTGTACTCAGTGTACTTTCAAGAAATTAGTTGATCTACTGGATTGCATCATCTCAAAGATCTTGACGTATATACACATGAGGGGAAGTCATTACGTGTTGCACTCTTTTCCGTTATCTATGTTTTTCCTATAGGATTTTTCTAGTAAGATTTTTAACGAGGCGAGATCTATTTAGAAACATTTTTTTATAATAGACATCAAATAGAATTTTTATGAATATTATGTGTTGTCCATTAAATAAAGTATTAGATTTATTTATTCCTCTCTTCAAATTATACTTTATATCCAAATTATTGTAATCCTATATAAAAGATTTATTATTCATCGAATAAGATATACCAATTTTCTGTCTTGTTGTTTTCGTTACTTATAACAGTTCAGAGTTTAGAGAGATTAATGATGTCTCTTAGTCTCTTGTGATCGAGTAGCATAGTTTTTCTATTGAGTCGATTACATAATAGGTCACATTTTGACTTATTCTTTCATCTAGAGACACTTATCACTTGAGAGGCACAATCACAATATACAAAACAGATTGTGGACCATTTTAACCTTACTGAAGCGAAACCAGATGATTACTTTGTTAGAGGAAGTTAGGTTGTAAAAGTGGTCACTGGTTTTAGTTTACTTTTATTCATTTAACGGTGGACACTAAAACATTATCTGTAGAAAATGTCGACAAAGACATGAATGTTGTTTATATTTGGGAAATTGACTCGAATGACTCAAATTAATTGAGAAAATACTAGAATAACTCGTTGCTACTACCGCCATCATCCTCATACGCCTTAGAGTTGCCCACACCAGCAGAAATATTCACATCAGGAGATGCCACAACAACCTTGGTTTTAAGAAAATTTACTTCTTCCTCCAATCTTGCAATATTCTTCTTTAATTCAGCTTGTTGTACTTCCACTCTAGCATCCACTCTAGCATCTATGGTAGCTTCGATTGCTTTAATAACCTTGTCAGCTACACTAACATCGATGCCTTCTATTTTTGTTGTGAGGCCTTTCACTGACTCAACTAACCCAAGTATGATGCTGTGAGTTGTAACCTACAGTAAACAAAGACGAAAAAAATTATGTGAACAACTATATTCTACCACTCGAATTTAACAAAACAAATTGGCACATACCATTTCTGAAGTTTCAGATCCATCAATAGGTTGTTTGTCCTTTTTTCTCTTAGTAGAAGGACTCTCATCCACTGTATCTGGAACAGCAGGTGCCCTCGCCTGATATTTTCTTTTCACGCCCTCGGTACACGTCAGTCCATCCCAAAACCTCTCATTTACTTGACCATTGAGGATGTCAACTATCATGTTATCCAAATCGGTATCCGGTTCATCGTTGACCCACACGGGATACCTATGGTCCATCGGCCTATTAATCATATGCCTAACACGGATCTGCAGTTTAAACCAAAAAAAATTTAAATCATGTAACTCAGATTACTGATAGAGAAAAAATAATGTATTTACCTTCTCATGTTTTTTCTTTTCTTGTGCTATGAAATCATCGAAGTTGACACGCTGCCGAGAACCACGCCATGACAGAAGAGGAATCTCAGCTCCCTCTATCCGATGCCCATACAACTCTCCAAATCCAGGGACAGACTCATATATCCATATGACTAAGGCATGAACACAACCATGAACTGTATAGCTATCTTTCCCCACGTAGGACACTACTTTGATGGAGTCAACAAGGCTTTTAAAAGCAACACGACCCCACGGAAAGCGATTGAAAGCTTCTATATCCATCACCCTTTTAGCACAATTCAAAGGTATCCTACTGTTGTTTGAAATCCCAAAAATCCCGATAGACAAAAGACACAATAAACCAACCCTTATGCGCTTCTCTAAGGACCAGTTTCTGCATATCGGAAAGAGAGCTTGTAATTCAAGAAGCTTCGGTCCTTCAGCTTGAGGAACTTTCATCTCCACCCAAAACTCTTTATGATCAACATTCTAGCCATCCTTTTTGTCGAAAGGTTCACAATTGAGGCCCGTGATATCTTCAAACTCAAACAAAGAAAACCTTATCGGACTTGTTTCAAGCAAAGACCATATCTCATTCTTCTTCACTGATAGTTGATTGGTGAGAAAGTAGTGAACATACTTTGCAGACCAAGTGTAATCCAACTCCATCAGCCTGATGATCACTCCAACGGCAGATTCCCTCAACACATCCCAAGCGTCTACACCAACGGCTTCTTTAACCATCGCCACATTTGACAAGTGACAGCTATGATTCATGCTTCTGCTCTGAATTGGTGTTTTCCCAGCCTCGTATAAGCGCGGAGGATACTGTGTAATGGCCGAAGATGAAGCCATCCTACAACAAGTTCACATAGTGATATTAACAAAAGAACAGAAACTCATCTTGCTGAAAAAAAAAATAAAAACGTAAATTTCACAGGCTCGGGCCTTATTTTTCCGAATTGGGAATATGTTTTTTTTAAAAAAAATTGGAAATTATGGGTAAATTTTCAATTGGGAGTTAGGGTTTTTTTCAAATTGGGAATTAGGAATTTTTGAAATTGGGAATGAGTATTTTTTCGAATTGTGAATTAGGTATTTTTTTCCAAATATCCCAATAGAGAAAGAGAGAAACCCCAATTCGAAATTCAAATTTGGGAACTAGGGATTTCGATTTGGGAATTAGGGATTTTGATTTGGGAATTAGGGATTTTGATTTGGGAATTAGGGTTTTTAAATTTAACATGCAATCAATAAATCTATGTTAGAAGAAGTGATTGCAAGAGGTAGTATACCTTAATCGACGAAAACAGAGGCGGATCACGGAGGTGAGATCGAGTTCTCACTCGTCGACAATGACAGGGACGAGCTCGTTTCTCGGTTGTGGAAAACAGAAAGGACGACTATTTCCGGTGGAGTGGTCGTCGGAGTCGTCGGAGACAGTGGAGAGGTTATCGGGTCGAAACTGTCTATGGGTTTATGTTCTGAGAAAAAGAGATGAACTTTTGTGGAGTGAAGAAGATGAAGACCAAACCCACGACAAAACTAGGAAAAATCTTCTTTTTTAATATTTTTTTTTTAATTTCGTTTTACTTTGTTTTTTAATTATTAATTGGTTAAGTCATGTTTTTCGGTTTATGAGGATGGAGTTTTTGGTAAATTAGTCAATCCCTTGAGTTATTCTAGTAATTAGAATTTTAGAAGAGTTAGTGTAGTATTTTCGCAATTGATTTGAGTCATTATGGGTAATTTCTCTTTATATTTTATGTCATTATGTTTTTTTTTTTATTTCACCTTACAGTTTCAATTGTTGGCTAGCTTTCGTTCTTCGACCTAGAAGAGACAACGTCGAGTCTGTTACGGTGAAACAGAAATGGTGAACACGAGCTCAAAGCACGACACGGAAGAGGAGCTGAGCACGGCTTGAAAACTCACACAGCTATGGAGATTTCCGGGAAGGAGGTCGTGACTCGTGACCGGATTGGAAGCTACAAAGGCAATCCAAGATGAGGTGAGTACGGCGAGGAGGCGGCTTGAGAGGAAGATTTGGTTGTGTGACAGGGAAGGAGATTAGTGGAAGGGCGACGGAATCCTTCATGGTGGCCATCCACATCCATAGACTCTGTTGCAAGAAACAAAAGATAAGAAGAGAACCTCCACAGCCATAGAATGTTGCGGATCCAATCCTGTCCATTCAACCTGACAAAGCCAAACCTTTAACCTGTTACCTATTGAAGAAATGATATGTTAAAAAAAAATCCAGAAAAAATAAACTAGAATCTGAATGTAATCCAATTACAAGTAAATTTTACACAGCCAAACTTAAAAGATCAAACTTGTAGGTGGTGGAATGCACTTTCTCACCAAATCCATACGATAACGGCCTCAGCCCAAACGAATTTAGGCCCAACAGGAGAACTCTCCAGCGATTATCGGTAAGTTGAGCTTAGCTCGGCTAATCACTGTGGTTAACCGAGCTAAGCATGCTTAGACAAAGCACTTAAATTATCGGGCCGACAAAGGCCCACTTGGCGAAAGCCCGCGAGAGTCACAACGAATCTGCTAGGTCAAGGTGCAACCACTATAAAAGGAAGAGAGGAGCTAACGAGAGGGGGATCCGAAATCACACTCACGCTCAAGGCGGCTAGAACTAGGATTTTCATTCCTTTGTTTCTTTCTCGACTTGTATGGTGCGGCCAAGCTCTCAGCGAGACTCCCCTCCGCCTCTCTTTTCCCTATTTGTGAATTGAACTCTCTCTTTAATACAACCGCACCCTTGACTCAAAATAGTAAACAAACGCCTTTGAAATAACCCACCGACGAGTCCTGTCACTCATTCACTGAACAGACTGAACTCGGTTCAAACAGTTGGCGCCCACCGTGGGGCATAACAAAGCAGCGTCAACACAAGTTATGAGTCCAAGTAACGCTTTAACCTCCAGCGACGAAGAAGATGCCGCGGCACCAACCTCAGGCGCCGCCATACCGCTCGCTCCTACTTTCATCGACTCCGTCATGGAGCGCCTAGCTCGTCAAGACGAAGCCCAGAAGACGACAAACGAGCATCTCGCGGCCATAGCCGCCGTACTCTCGAACCCTGACGGAGCTGGAGGGCACCTTTCCACGGCCCGACGGTTTCTCTTCAACACTAACCCTATACCTACTCCGGCGAACCAACCTATCATGCCGGTTGGACCTCAAGACGCTTCCGCGCAGCCGGGTAACAGCCCAGATATACAGACTATCCAAGAAATCGCTGCCCTTAAGCAAGCTCTCCTCAATATCAACTCGAAGATACACGGCGTCACGACCTCCGGCCCGCTCATTGAAAGCGTCCTAGCGGACACCCTTCGAACTCCATTTACTCAGAAGATAACTGCCGTAAGACTTCGCAAAATGGATAAGATCCGCTCGCCGACATACGACGGCCACTCAGACCCAACGACTCACATCACCTCCTTCAACATCGCGATGCGGCGACACAACTTTACTGACGAAGAACGAGACGCCAGCTACTATTAGCTCTTCGTAGAGAGCCTCACTGGCGTGGCTCTAACCTGGTTTATAGGCCTCCCGGAGAACTCCGTTGACAGCTTTCGCGACTTATCGTCCGTGTTTCTAAAGAACTACATCATGTTCACACGAGAGGAAGCTACCGCGTCAGATCTTTGGAACCTCTCCCAGGCACAGGGGCAGAGTCTTCGTAGCTTCATGGAAAAATTCAAAGGGATTGTGTCCAAGGTAGAAGTCCCGGACAGCATCACTGTTAACGCCCTAATGAACACACTGTACGTACACTCCAAGTTCCGAGACGACCTCTATCGTCACCCAACCAAATCTCTCTCTGATGCCATTGCCCACTCCAACAACTTCATCCGCATGGAAGAAGACACGAAGGCAATCATCAGCAAACAAAACGCTACAAAGCAAGCGACCTCGAAGAGCAACGATACCCGTCCGGAACCGCGTCAGCATGCCCCAACCGACAAAGCAAACCCGAAGAAAAGCTTCGTCTACATGGTCAACGAGGATAATCTCCCGGGCTCAACAGTGGTAGTCCGAGCAAAGGGATGGAACCACTGGGACATGACAGATGACGAGCCGAAGCCGGAAGGCGCGTCTGAAGCCTTGGGCTCCAAGCCCGACGAACCAGAAAAAGTATTGTTCTTACCACAAGAGCAAGAAACATAACACTAAGGACTGTAAATTTCTGCACGAGCACTTCCTCTCCTCGGTCACCAGCGGTAAATTCGAAGTCAAACCATCGAAGATCAAACCAAAGGAAAACAGCTGGAGCAAAAACAAAGATAAGAAAGGTTGAAGGTCTCAGCCCAAGAACGCGCGACCCGAGCAGAAGAAGGACGTCGAGGAAAAGGCCCCCAAGGAACAAGAAAAGGAGGACTCATCTGCCGACGAGGAGCAGCCGAGGAATCGGCGAAGGGTCGAAGTTATCCTCGCACGCCCGAACAGTATACCCGAACTCACGTAGGGAGATTTGCGCACGTACCTTAGCAAACGAACTAAAGAACGAGAGGGTATAAGCTCGTTCGACTTGCGACATAAACTAAGGCAAAGAAACGTCACAGCCAAGACAACGCCGTCCGAACCCATCGAACCGGATGACGAGCTCACTACTCCAGCAATACCAGGATCATCCCCTACCATCACGGATCTAAGGAGCCATCTGAACTCGAAGGTTCCCGATCTCCGCTTCAAGCTCGGCAAACAAGAGACACAGGACCTGCGACAGAAGCTCGATGCGAACAGGGACAACCGAACAAAGATCGAGCACTCGTCTTACGATCTACGAACTGAACTCGAGAGTAAACGAGCTAACGTTATCATGGGAGGTTCACCCCCATGCGGCGACTCGGTCAGGTCCATCAAAGCACACCAGCGCCAAGCCAAGACTT